AACACGGGCAAATATGCAACAACCGAGTGTATTAATATGAAACATTACATATTTATATGTCAAGGAGAGTGCTACCGATCCACAAGGCAAAAGATCGCGGCTAATAATTCGATGGTGGCGGGCTTAAATCCCAAGTACGTTAGAGTTTTCAATAGAGGCGAGCGCATAATCTAAATCAATCCCGCTGCCTTTAAATTCGTACTTTGTAAATTTATTTCAACTTCTCTGTTATATAGATGTGTCCATATATATTTAAATTCTTATACCCATTCATTATATACATATATATACAAGCAAACCTGTTTTTGTGCGGTAGATAGGGACCGCAGAAAAAAAACCGCACAAAAAAAAAATATTCAAAAACTTCATAAATAGCTATAAGAAATAATTTTTCACAGCATATTAACGAAAATTTTTTTTATGCGGTAGAGAGGGACCATCAAAGCTTTACGAAATAGCAAGAAAGTGCTTTCCAAACAAAATAAATAATTAAACTACACATTGAAACATTTAAAAAAATTTTAATTTCTAATTTTAAACAAGGAGAAATTTTCAGTCGTTAATCCAAAATATGAGGGCCTTTTCCGTTTTCTCTATTAAAATATTTCTAGGATATGATATTCTTTTACCACTTTCGTTTGTTGCAGAATTTTTAGATTCATTTATTCTACTTGCACGTTTTTGTATTGCTCTTATAGTGGAATCACCTAATTTATATTCTTTACCAAGAGCTGTGGATCCTTCACCATCTGCTAGTCTATTTAATATTGCAATTTTAGTTTCTAATGTAATTGTCTTTCTTTTCACTTTTTTTTGGTTACGATTATTTATTTTAAGGGAGTACTTATGACTAAAAATAAAATAAAAATCATAAAAAACTATATCTAAATAGGGAAAACAATTAATTTACCTTTAATCTCACTATAAAATTAATCCTATCTTAATGGTTAAAAGGTCAGCAATTAACTAAAGTTATTATGTATTGAAATTGGCTGATGCAATATATGCATAAGAACATTGAGCATGCCTAATGAAATAGGCTGATGCAATAGGTATGAAAATGGCTGTTGCAATGTGTACATACACACTGATAGCAAAAAAAATGATGCCAACACAGTTCAGATTGACCTAACCTCTCGGCGAAATTCAATGTGTCGATATTCATATACCGCACAAAAAGAATCGCATAAAAAAAAGATTCGCACAAAAAGAATCGAATAAAAAAAAGCGCATAAAAAAAGACCGCACAAAAACAGGTTTGACTGTATTATTGATCAGCACCAAATTCTAAATTGATTTAAGCATGCCCGTCTGCGCGCTGCTTGCTGTCAACATTCTCCTGGGCGCAAAAATAAAGTTAACGCTTTCGAATTTCGGAAAAAAATTTGAAAGTGACTTAAACTTTTCACAGGACACGCCCACAACACCTACACGCCCAATCGGCAAAAACTTTTATTTTGAAAATAGGAAAAGTGAGCTGCGCCCACTCCATATCATAGAGCATGAAAATTTAGTTCCTTTACTTTTTCTTATTAGTGGATACATATATATAAAAGATTTAGTCACGATCGAATATAATTTTCTTAGTGTGTTTGCTTTTTTTTTTTTTTTTTTTTTTCTTTTAATGTTATAAATGATTATTTTTCTTAGTAATCTCTTACAGTTTATTTAAGAAAATCTGTTTAACTTTTTTCTTCGCTCATATAAGCTCGCCAAGTAGTGGGAGAGGGAGAGAGAAAGGGAAAACGTAATTGCATTAAATAATAATGATAAGGATAAGAGACACGCGTGTCGCATTAACATAATGAGATTGCATCTGAAAGAAAATGAAAGTTAAGACATAAGAAACAAATCCATGACAGTGCAAAACACTGTGTAATTAAAAATGAATCAATAATTGTACAAGGTATGAGGGAGAATTTCTCAAAGATTTCCATCATGTGAACCCTTCCGTTTGAATTGAATTCGTTATTAGTAATCTGATCGGAAGTACTTTTATTCTGATATTTTGCATCTAATTTTCTAACTGAAATTTCCCAAAGTGTTATGAGTGCGTCTATGTGTTTCATTTCTTTGGATATCTATCCAGCGTATATCTCAATATTAATTGATGCATTTCTAAATATTCTTAAACGATGATTAAAGAACGCTTATGCATTTCATAAAAGAGATTGAAGATAAGCTCGAAATTTTAATTGGCAAAAATCTTTAGCTATAACCTTAAGACCATTGCAAATTTTTCAGTGCTTGCGCTAAAAGGTTAAAGATCGAAAAAGTTTAAGGATGAAGTGCTTAGAGCTAGTAATAAAGTCGGCTATAGAATTACATATATATATATTCTTCTTCATCACTTTACAAACATGTATAGTGCAAACCGTACGATTGTGGCTTTCACGAATGCAATAGAAGAGGCACTTTTAAACCAAACAGCGTCTGGGAAAGGGAATTCGGAAGATCATTGTTATGGTGACGGAATTGCACACTAATGGAAAGAATTGAAAAAAAATAGGAAAAGAAAGACATATTTGAAAAACTTTTCAAAACTCTAAACTCATTGTTCTCCAAATACAATTTTTAAAAACTGCACGCAATATAACTTTAAAAATTTTCACGTTTTCCATTGGAGATTTTGTAAGGCTTCCTTAAACCAATATTCTCTAGAGCAATATGTAGAATATTTAAAGATTTTTTATATATACATAATTTATCTTTTATAATATATCTGAAAGAAATCCTTACCACAGTTAAACAAATATGGCTGCCGTTTTTTAATATTTCTTAATATTTTATATATATATATATATATATATATATATATTTAAATATACGCCTAACAATGTTGCTAAATATTATTATTCCGTTATCTCCATTCCTTCCATTTGAAAAAATCGTCAAAACCCCTTCTCTTATACTTATGCCTTAATAGAGTTATATATATATATATAAGCATCAGGTTATGGCTGATGAAAAATGATATTGAAATGATGTAAACGAACCATTTCCTTCAAGAGGTTCTCTTTATAGATCCGAGGAAATGTTTATATTTCCGACAATCGACCAAATTGAGCAAGGAAGTCCATTCAAAAAACTCTTAGATATCTAAAGGGTGCTTGCATGTATTTTGATCAGCAATTTCTATTCGTAAAGTATCGATATGCACAATGTTTAAATTCGATGTTATTGACCAATGTCTACACAAAATAACAGCTTTCTACTCAGTATATAGAGATGCTAATCGTCGAACGCTCAAAATTGAATTTTCGACGTTCATTAATTTTGTTTTGTTGTTTGATTGGAAGACATCGGCTGCCGACGTCCATCAAACACTTTTAGAAGCTTATGTGTATGAAGTTTTGCTGCGCATATGATGGGATCAGAAAAATGTGATGTATTACGAGTTGCTAAAGCCGAATGAAAATGCCACTGCACACGTCTATCGATGTCAATTGAACAAATTGGATCGACCTATCGTTGCCGAATAGACCATCAATGGCGGTTAGCAGAGACAAAGTCATCCTTTTGACTCGACAACGCTCGGCCACACGTTGGAGAAGTTGTCAAGGATACACGGCTGCAGTTTGAATGGGAAGTTATGCCACACCCAGCGTACTCACCAAACATGGCGCCTTCTAATTACCATTTGCTCAGATCGATGCAACATGGTTTGGCTGCCACGCGCTTCCGAAATGCTGAAGAAGTGCGAAAATGGATGGATAATTAAATCATTGCCCAAAGCAATATCATGGTATTGACGTGTGGGCAGATGGGTTAATATATATTACGCCCTTTTTTTTTAATAAATGTAGTCGAATTATAGACTGTAGGTAAAATTGAATTCTCAAACAATGCAGACCTAAGGCAGGTGAGGATGAACGATTGGAAATGCTAGCACTATAATGTCTTTAGTTTATGTAAAACATATTTTTATGGTGATTGTTTTGGTATGGGTAAAAGTAGTAGCCACATTTTCGCGTTTGGCCACGCACGAGTTACATATTTAATTATTTTACTGTATCGCAGAAAAGTCCACTCTCTGTTTTTCGTGCTTCATTATTAATCGATGTGGAGGATTTTTTTTTTAAAAAGAGCCGGGTCCTCCTCAGGCATCAAAATTGAGAAGAATATCACTATTTTGTGTAGTACATAGGATCGTTGAATTTTTGATACTTTTCCGGACGAGTTCTTTGAAAACATGTGAACTCTTGCATGTGTTGAAACGTTCGGAAATCCGGCTTGAATTTTTTTAATCAATGGGATATCATCGAGAGAAAAAAAAAATTTTTCATGAGAAGAGCTTCTTAACTGGTGCTATTGTCCATCAATAGCGCAAGAATTTACGGAATAAAATCTTTTACAAAAGTGAAATTCTTTTCAAATTTAGTTTAGGAGTTTTCCTAGACGATGATTGTTAAAATTATTCCGCGTCATTTTTCTTGTAACAGAATGAAAGGCGAGGTGCTTTCACAACGTTTTGTATTCATTTCTTGAAAACTAACTGCGGTTATAATCACAAGTCTTTAAGGAAAATATTCTTACAAACAAAAACTGTGTTCGTCAACAACGAAATCGGTTCTGATTAGATACAAAGCGTTTATTACTAGACTATTTCATCTTCATAGTCTTATTGCCCTTGCAAGGAACTACTTTGACAACATATTGCATGTACGTCGAAATATGTTTAATAAAATCTCGTGCAATTTTAGCGTCTGAAGGCTTATCGAGTGAAAATGCATCTTAAATGCGAACATTTATCACAACATATAGCGATCGTATCTGAAATTCGAAATGAAAAGAAAATAGTGAATAGTAAGCTTGATATTAGATTAGTTCCGCAATATTATTTTGAAATTTACATCACTGGTTCTTTTTTCTAACGTACAACTAACGGCCGTATGCCTAATAGCAATTTAAAGTAAGAAAGCGAAGAAAAAAAAAGAAACAAGAATGGAAAATACTATTGTTTGCGTGCATAACATATACGTTCTTGAACTTTATTGTAGGTTGCATATGCCATAAAAACACCAAGTGACACAAAAAACAAACTTAGCAAAGTGTGTATTGCATCATTTTATTTTTTTTTTTATCATAAAAAAACAATAACGAGTATAAAATTCATCTATTTACTCATACATACTCGCAAATATGTTGCGTAATTGTGTGTGTTTTGGCCAACGCTCGCAGAATAAGCGTCGCAGCTCTTCGTTTGATACCTCGTCCTCATGTCGTTCATCAGAAATTGAACGAAGCGGCAAAGCCGCGGCCACAAGAGCTACTGTTGCTGCCACAGTCGAAAACCATAGCTATACGATGGCTAACGGCGGCATGGCGAGCAGTTTATTACAATTATTCCAAAAGAAAGGTTGGTACCGTCATTGGCGTAAACCGACTCGTGGCATCACCATGTCAAAAACCGAAATAAGTAAGTATTCATATTTATAAAAAAAAGAAAAAAAAAAAAAACGAATTAAATTTTCTTTCTTTTACCGTTCCGACGACGCAATGTGTTAATTATATTTTACGTGTTATTTGAGTCGCTGCATGCCGCAGTTAAACTTAGTGAATGTGTGTAATGAAATCTAATTACTTTTCTTGAGATATTTCCTTGTACTTCCGTGAACAGTTAAACCGGTACGAAAAATTATTTTACATTGTGTATGTGTGTGTGTATGTGTATGTATGTTAGTAAGAGAGAAAACCAAAACCGAAAACTATAATATTTTCATATCCAACACGTAATACATATATTGTGCATTTTTCCATTCCATTATATATACGTTTTATATGTCAATAAATTAAAGAATTCAAGAAAAAGTTTCGTTAAGAAACATGACAAGCTTTCTCTGAGTTTTCAACATTGATGTAGATAGCACTTATGATAAACAGCATAGTATGAAAGCGTTCTGGAATGACTGACTCCTTTCGTTAAAAATGGCAACAAAACAAAAACAAGAAACCCATATAAATTTTTTCCTTTCTCGCTTAGCTCAGAAAAAAAAAAAAAAAGAAAGGAAAAAGAAAAAACTTTAGTAGACATAGATAGTAGATTAACTACATGTGGATAGTTAAGTGATCTAATAAATAAATGAACCGGAGCGCACATTTTGAGATTTCATTAAGCTAACATATGTTTCGCATTCAGTTCATAATGTTAACTTTATTTGATTTTTTTTTTTTTTTTTTTTTTTTTTTTTATTAACTACAATAACCAATAAGAAAAGTTGATGAAAATTTTAGGGATTTTTCTAAAAACTTGTGAACGTCTCTTTTCCTTTGCAGTTCACTGAGTTTACTCGCTTCGAGTTATTAAAACTAAACAAAGTAAAATGCATGTCCATCGATATGAGATGGCGGTCCATTGCTTATTAGAGAACTCTTACGAGCAGAACAATTGATAGCAATAGCTTGACTTTGAAACTAAACATGATTCGTCCACACATCTATGACCACGATGGAAAAATGACTCATTCTAATTGTTATTGTGAGTTACTTACGAACTGCGAGAATGATGATTCGAAACCAAAATCAGTTAAAGTTTCGATGGAAAAATAATTAAAATCATTCTAATGACCATAATTTCCACAAGTGATGAGAAAGATTGACCTGAGATTAATTTCAATTAATTGAATCGAGTCTTTTGATATATCTATCGCATAGTGTTTATATTCGGAAATCATCGAACGATTATTCATTACGTGTAACGTTTAAATTGTGTACTGATGTCTTCATGTTGAGACGGATTTTTCATCGCGGGAATTATTTTTGTCTGACAATTGTTATGAGTCGCGTTTCAAACGGTTTTCGCTCGTTCTAAACTTGCTTAGCAAGAAAAAATATTTTCCTGGAAGTGTCAGATACAACTCTATTAACAATGAATTTTTCAAGTTGTTTACTTAATATTCCCGTTAATTGCGTTTAGTCTTTGGGTATGTTATACTATTCTTGGTCCTGTTATTTCAAATATGTTACTCTTTGTGTAGGTTGTGTGTGTTAATTGAACGTTTACACATTAATTTATGCCGGTCAATACCGCGGATAAGGCGACCTATTTATGAATGAAGAATACATTCCGTGATGGCATTGCTTGTTGTATTCACAATGCATTCCTTTATATTTAATGCAACAATACCGTCACTTAAGTTTCATAATGTATTAAAAATTGATAAATACGAGCGAATAGTAGTAGCATTCGTCGAATTCGTTTCAAGCCAAATGCAATTTTTTTTATTTATTTATTTATTTTTTTTTTTTTGTGGCTATTTTTGCCATTCAACATTTTAGATGTTTGTCCATTTCAAGTATTTTCTTGTCTTTCGAGCGTACGTGTGTGCGCGATAAGAAGGTCATTTCGTACATGTGTAATGTTCATACGTCATGTTGCAGTCAAAGGAAATTGTTGTGAATGAAAGACACATATGATCATAAGTCACGTGCTCTATTTCGGTAGCTACATTCTTTCTGTCCTTCCCACTAGTGGCAACAAAAGAATGTCAATCAAAAGAAAATTATGGTTTCAGTTTACTGCTGTTTTAGAGAATAAAAAAAAGAAAAAAAAAACTTAGGTTCTTCTTCTTCACTTTCTTATAAAGCCTTACGCGATGTATGTGTGTTAAAGCTCTGACATTTTGTGATTTAAAAAAAAAATTCTTCAAATATATTTATATGAAACATTAAATTAAGTTAGTGCCATGATTGTAAAGGGCAACTAAAACTTTACCCAAAATTTCTCTTATTTTGGACACTCGTGCTTATGTATATGCTTATGAAAATGCATAACGTCACCTTAATTCCTTTGCAAAAACACACGTTTGAGTTTGTTTTATGTCAATATTAAATTTTATTTTATGAGGAAGAGAGGTGTATCTAACGATTACACGGGGGGGTTTTTGCCATTTTTGTCCGATTGTACACGGAATGAAAATGCTCTCTCGAATGATTGTGTGTTCGTTGCATCGTTGCAATAATGGGCCAACAATTAAATGTTGTTGAAACTTTTGCACATGAAAAAAAGTTTATGACGACGAGGGTGTACTGCATAGCGGATTGTAAGAGTGATACACGTGCCTAGAATTGCATAGAAGAATTCGCATTTGCAACTGATTTTTAATCAAACATCGATTTGTAACTATTAGTCACTTGCCCTATTCGTCTCATTTCCCTCTTGGAAAATAGTATATTTGTCCATGATATGAAAGCCGATGTAGAGACGTTTCAGAAGCTTTGCACCGTTAATATACAACACTGCGTGTACGAATGTCATGCACATTTAACAGAATGTTAGAAATGAAGGGCAAGTAATAAGGACTACAGTATGAACGTTAAAAGTAGTTAATAAAAAAAAAGTAAGAACATTATAGCCGGGCAAGGGCGACCATTAAATACCCTAAACTACATTCTCTAACACAAACCTCATTTTTATATACAGAACAAAAAAGGTATATAACGGTTTTTAAGGGGACGCGGGCCCAAAAGGCAACTTAATGTAGCACAAGGGCAGGATCCAAAAATAAGCGGAGATAATCCAAATTTTGTAGAGTTGATTTTTGTATGAATTTACTATAATCTTATGGGTCAATTTCGATTACCACATATTAAAACTTACACTTTTCTACTCTACAAAGATCGATTTTCGTGAAAGTTCTTATTAGTGTAGGATCCAAATTATAGGCCAAGATGGTCCAACTTTCGTACAGTTAATTTTTCTGCGTTAAATTATTATTATGATAAAATTTTCTTCATGGCGCATTGAAAATTATACCATTTTGTCGTATGAACTTCAGTTTCCGTTATATGAGACGATTTTCAAAAATTGCCCCAGCCGATCCAAAGTTTTCATACCAATTTAGAATGCTAAGATACTACTGCTTAGCCTTTTTTACCGAGAATTTCGAAAATTGCAACGACTTTTAGAATAGGACGTTATATGTGGACTAGTCGAAAAAGTGGACCGATCCGAACGATTTTCAATAGCGTTCATCCTTGGGTGAAAACACGTCACTGCACCGAATTTCATTAAAATATCTCGGGAAATGCGATCTCTAGCTTGAGCACAAATTTACATGGACAGACATCAGAGGAACAAACAGACACACAGGCTTAGAAGAATTCAGATTAAGATTCTGAATCGATCGGTATAATAAAATGTGGATCTATCTTAAGCCCATCTGTGTGTTACCTACGACCGTACTAACTTAATATATCCTCCACTACAAATGGTGTAGGGTATAAAAACAGCTTATTCGCCGGGAAAAATATATCGCTATCGTGCTTATGGAGAGAACTTACGAGCTCCTCGAAACCTTTCAGTTTCCTAAGCTTGAAAAGAGAAAATAATCCAAAGAATTGGGAGCGTGAGAAACAGATTCGAGACTCCGATGTTAGCCAATCGCGAGCAATGTTAACTAGTGCAATGTCTTAATATGACGCGACTTTTTCTTTTCCGTTAAACGTAGCGAAACGACAATAAGTTTGCGGTGTTTTCCTTTCGCTCGAACAATGACAAGAAATCCGTATAATAATCGCCACTATTTGTTTTTTCATCATGTAATCCCCAGTGAGAAGAGATCGTCTTCTTTGGCGCCGATATTCGCTTTTCCCTCTATTATTTTAACTCTGATTACCTTTTAGGAGTAATGGATCAATAATATATATCCATTGTTATGAATCCAGGAAAAAATCAACTCGGACTTTTTGGATGTAAATTATCGTCGAACACTGTGAGCAAGCGCAGCACACATCTCTTGTCTACGGTTTTCTCATTCTCACCAATTATCAGTCAATATGCGATAAGCAATACTTTTTGATGACGAGCTTGAGCACATTTACTCGTCAAATGATCAAACCCCGTATGGATTTCCGTAATCTTTTCCGAAGCGGTAGTTGACCACTTAAACTCGGCAATATTTTGTTCTTATTGTTGCCAACAAAAAGTTAAATCTCCTCAGAGCAGAGTTATTGCTATTGTTTCCCTTGATATTGCTTGCACTAAGATCTTTCAACCAAAATTATTGTGCGACTTAACGATGGCCGATCTCTTTTTACACCGGGCTAATACACTTTGATTTAAAATAAAAATTCTTTCGATCGATTTAAAATGTAGAAGAACTTTTCCCAAAAGTCGTAGATTACATATCACGTTACGAAATTTCAATAAAAGAAAAACCTTTTAAAAAAGGGGCCATTTTCATTTAAATGTAGGTGTGTTCGCAGGCAATGGAAAATTTTGCAACTGTTTCGAACTCACTGCTACGTCTTCTAAGACTAACAGTGCATTGTAGTGCCCTATGTTTTCTGAATTGTAAAATTTTTGTTTTTCTGTAGATAATAAGCAAAAATATTACAGTGGACTACAGTGCATCAATAAATACTCTGCACCATTTTACGTATTACAGTTCTTCATGCAATGAGTTTTCACGACAAAGC